GGACAGGGAGGGGAAGAGTCGCCGACGAGCTGCGGGGCAACGGCGGCGGCACACCAGCCGGACGCGTCCGGGTGGGCGCGGCGCGAGTCAAAGGCCAGCAGCCTCGCCCGCAGGCAGAATCACACGCACGCACGCACACAAACATACACCGCACGACCTCGCAAGCAGCGCGGGGCCGCAGGGGCGCGGGGCGGGGGCCGCAGTGGGCGAGGGGCGCGCGGTGTGCGCGCGGGTGTGGCGACGCACCGCCCCCGTGGCTCCCGTCCTGCCGTGGCCCGCCATGGTCCACTGCAGCCGCCCGTCCAGCACCGCCCACGCCTTGGCGGTGCCGTCCGACGAGGCGCTGACGCAGCGGCCCCCCAGGGGGTCCACCGCGAGCGCGTTGATCCTGCAAAGGGGGGAGTCCAGGGTTCGGGGTTTGATGGTTGCGGGGGGCCGGGGTTCAAGGGTTAGGGTTTGAGGTTGCATGGATTCGGGGTTGAGGGGCTTTGAGGTTGTCTGGGCTTTCGGGGGTGTCAGGCTTCGGCGGTCGGCACGTGGAGAGTTTGGTGAAAGGGGCGGTGTTGGCTCGGCGGCATCTTTCGGTCCGCTTGCTCTCTGCTGCCCTGCCTTTCCGGGACGGATTAGATAGGAGGCACACGGCACGATATCAAGGCAAAGAGCCCTGCCTGCTTCAGAAGCGATCGCCGTCCGACGCAAGCGCGGTGTGTGGCAAGGGGAGGGACGGAGCACGCCCCCGCCTGCTCGGACGCGGCGCCCTGCGGCGGGGCTGGGGGGCCGCCGCCCGCGGGCCCCTCCCCCTTTCTCACCTGCCCGCGTGCGCGGGGAAGCTGCGCATGAGGGTTCCCCCCTGCAGCTCCCACCAGCAGATGGTGCCGGCCTCGTCGCCGGTGATGGCCGCGCCGCCGTCTGGGGAGACAGCCAGGGCGGTGAGCGGCACGGGCGGCGCGCCGGGGGGCGGCGGGCGGCGCAGCTGCATAACGCAATCGCCAATGTCCATGTCCCAGATCTGGGAGGGTGAGGAGGGTTTTGCGGCGGGATTTTCAGGGTGGACTTTTGGGGCAGGGTTTTGGGGGCACGATTTTTGGGTAGGGCTGACTGTGGGGTTGTGGGGCAGGGTTTTGAGAGGGGGTTTTATGGCAGGGTTTTGCGGTTGGGATTTTGAGGAGGGGGCAAAACACGTGGGGCCCTTTCAGAGACGGCAGGGTTCTTGACACTTGGGTTGAAAAACCCCAGGGCCCAAACATGATGAGTCAGCTTGAAAGGGGGGACGCTTGTAGTAGTAGTTCCAAGTGCAGCCAAGCGCAGCTGTCTTCGACCCCCACACTCAGACAGCTGCGCTTGGCTGCACGTAGGAAGACAAGAGGGGCAACGCAACGCTCAACCGGATCCCAACCATCTTGTTAATCACAATTAATCTGGCCCTAGCACTGCAGAGTGCCCCACGGGCGGCCCCACAACCCCACACCTGCACGCCGCCGTCGTCCGACGCCGTCAGCACGTCCCGCCCATCGGGCGAGATGACCACCCGCCGCACCGCCCCCGCGTGGCCGCGGAGCGCCATAACGTGCGCGCCGCCGGCCTGCTGCAGCGTAGCGGTGCGCGAGAGCAGGTGCTGCACCGGCGGCGGCGCCGCCGGCGCGCCGGCGGCGGCCGCCGCGGCG